TGAAGTGCAAGTTATTTAATTGAATATTTAAGTATGAACTTAACACGCAAACTGTAATTGATAATCGAGAAAATATTGAAAAAAATCGCACTAAATTTTCCTTGGTTTGTCAATATCTACAAGTTCTGCTATTAGTTACAAGCTAGAGCTATAATTTTTTAATCAATATGATAAATACTTCGTAATAAATAATAAATACAAAATTAATAATATTTCGTAAAAAGCTTCTTGTCATATTATTTTTTTAATTGGTTTCATTACTGTCAATTTTCACGAATTTTAAATTACAACTATCTATATCGTTTCAAAATAGAATTAAAAGAGTTAGAAGAAATTCATATACTATAGTCAATATTTACTGATGATACTTTTTAAAAAAAAAATGTTTCTCCCTCAATTGTTAATTTCATTACTTTCATATTTAATTAATGTTATAGATTGTCAAAATAACACTATTAGGTATCTTGAGATTAATATACAGTATGTCTCCGGATTGTTTTTTCAAGAGGAAAAGCTTTTTTATGATTTACATTTTGAGAAAAATGGATTCTTTATAAAAAAAATTGTTTGTTCTAAAATGGTTTAATCCCGTTTTTATACTTTTTCAAATTTCCCTACCTTTTTAGAGAAAATTAAAAAAAACATGAAAATACCATTGAATTTTTTTCCAAGTCCCAAAATTCAAAAGGCATTTCTATGGCAATCTAATTTCGTTTTCATTCTTTGATAGATTGTTATTGATCGACTTTTAATTAACGTCATATTTTTTGCTGTTTTAAAATGTTAAAGGAGCACAAAATTTATTTAGATCAATGCTAGGGAAGGTGTGATAAAAGTTATCGGAAAATGCACCTTACCAATAGCAAAAATATCACAGTAGTTACTACAAATTAATAATAACCATCTATCAAAAAAAAACGCCTTTTGATTTTTAGAACCTTTCATGTTTTTTTTAATTTTCTCTAAAACGGTATGAAATTTGAAAAAGTATAAACGGGATTAACCATTTTAGAATAAGCAAAACTTTTTATAAAAAACATTTTTCTCAGAATCTCAATAATAAAAAAGTTTTTCCTCCTGTAAAGACAATCTGGAGACATGCCTACTGTAGACTTGTAATATATTTGTTACAAGATTAAATTACAAGATGATGCAAATAGTTATGTGGTCATTTTTACTCTATATACAGGGTGTCCAAAAAATGAGCGGCCAAATTTCAGGGAGTGAATTATCATCAAAAAAATATTGAAACAGTTCTCTAAGAATGGACATGATAAATTTTAAAATAAAATAGTTCTTGAAATTTGTAACCTTCTGGTAAAAAATGACATAATTAAGTTAAAATCATTAAATTCAGTAGCGTCCCAGGGAGACCTTACCGAAAATAATTAGAAAAAAATGTTTGCCAATGACAAAAAATTGCCACTGGCTGACATTGCAATTTTTATATTTTTTTTTAGATTACACAACTAAAAATACAACTGTTTTTTCTTGTATTATATGCCCATCTGAAACTGTTACGAGAAAAAAATAAACCAATGCAATGCAGGTCTCTGGATACCATTAAAACAAAAATAAAAAAAATAATTTCAATTTGCAACTAAAATAATAAAACACTTAACAAAATAGAGTTTATATCATTGCTGTTCAGTGCTACCTACAGCACATCCCAAATTTATAATGGTATTTAAGATAACTACAAAAAAAAGTTTAACATCCTGTATCTTTAAAACTATTCATTTCCGTACCTATGTTTTCTACCACTTTGTATAAATTAATATTAATACCTATATATCTAATTCCCTTGTGGACGCATCTGTTCTATGTGGTTTTATTTAGCAACACAATGAAAAGATGGTACCACAAAAAATTAATCATCTAAAAGGAATGAGAAAAAATAGAGCTAAAAATATTGTCATGAACTATTACCTACAATAATTAATTTACGTTGATATGGTGAAATCTGATATGGTGAAACCGATTCTGTATACTTTAATCATGCTATTAATATTCGAATTTTGCTTACTGTTATCAGTTAATTTATGAAATTATGAGATATATTATGTATTCCTAGAGAACACTATCGTAAAAAAAACTTATTAGAAGTTTATAGAAAACTACATCTAGAACGGAGATTTTTTTCACCTCATTTTTTCACAACGAGACCTATTGATAAAACATATTTTCAATATGGCGGCACTACAGAAAATACCGGAATTTGACAATAACTGTCTTATTTTATATAGATACCTCCATTTTTTACTATCTACTTAAATTCTCTGTAAAATTTGACTAATTTTGATATCAAACACCCTATAACATTAACGGTTTTTGATTTTTGATTAAATAACATTTTTGAAGAAAAAAGTCAAGAAATGTTGTTTAGCCTAAACATCAAATTTAGTGATTGCCACAGCTACTGTTCCATAAAGAGAAGATATGTGGCTATTTATTTCAAAAATTTAATTGTTCGAATGACATATAATATTGGTAGTTGTAGCTCTCACGGAATTGATAGATTAAAAAATTATTATAAATAATTTTTTCGAGTGGTAATTTTAAATTATTTAAGATTTAGTTTTAATGCGTATATTTTTCTTGATTTTAACTAGTATTCTATGACTTTAAACGTCAAGACACTTCGTTAAAAATCAGTACGTCATCGATCGCCATTTCCAAGCCAACTAACTCTGCGTTGTTTTTATCGACCATACGATGTATTATTAATAATATCAAGTATTAGATATCATTAAAGAGCTACACTTTGTAAATTTTAACCAGTAGTATTAATTTATAGTACACGATATTCAAATAATTAGTTTTCTGACAAAAATGACTGAAATAAATAAATGATGCTGATTGTTTGACACAATATCAAAGGTATCTAGATGAAATCAAGAAAAATATACGCTTTAAAACTAAATTTAAAATATCATAAAACCGATTTATTTTATGTATACGAATATGAAAAAGGAGGAAAAAAATAATCGGCCTAGCCCTCAACAACTCGTAACCGTACACATTTTTTCCCTCCTTTTTTATATATGTATTCCCCTCATTATTTCATTTTTTTTTATACGAACATGTATAAAATCAAAGACTAAAAAATTGAAAAACCTTTTCATTAGTAAAATAAAAAAGTAGGTTTCTATTTCAAAAAATTTTTAAATAATAATTTTTTAATTGGCCATTTCCATGACATTGCCGCCAATATTATATGACATTTGAAAAAAATTATATTTGAAATACCTACTATACTGTGGATATCAATAATTATAAAAATACGACTTTTTTGGCGGGCATTTTTTCCTCCAATTTTTTTTTCTCTAAAACGGTTAAGGTTCGGTATAGACTGTTTACAGACATCAAAATTTAAAAGAAATTATGGTGGTGACAATTTTGATACTCAACATTGTCGTCTGAGAAACTTCGAGAGATACGAATTCGGTTAAATGGGTCAAAATTTGCGTAATTAGAAGTCTGACAAACACATATGAAGAAAACCCCGGTATCTTGATTAGTCTAGATTTATGTCAAAAAATGAAAATAATACGTTTATTTTAAATGAAAATATCTTCAGAACTATTGTATGTATTACAATTAAATTGGTAGTTTTATATTTTTAACTTCGGCCAATTAAATGCCCTTTTATTTTTATCCTATTAAATAGAGCAAAAAATAATTTAAACGGTGGTATCTAATCTTTATTCATTATTATGTAAATTCACTAAAAAAATAGATTTTTTAATTCTTTCAAAAGATCAAGTCTGCCTTGGAAATCCAATTGACACTTTATATAATATTATGACAGCAAGTTAATTTTTGTTTACTCTATTAAGTGTCAAATCTGGACACAAAAATTTATAGTAGATAGTGTAAAGTGTATTAACGGTCAACAATATGTTCACAAGTGACGAAACACAAGATATGTATGATGTTTACTTAAAAAATATTAAAAATTCCAACATGGCATGCGCAAGTTATAGAACATTGTAACCTGAAAGGACACATCCTCTTTATACTTCTCAAGGATTTCAAGAAATTTAGCAGTTGCTGGTAGCTTTAAAAACACTATTTTAAAAGGCTTAATGATATTAATGTGCCAGCTCAGACTGAAATTAATCCGGAAACTTCCGTAAAATAAGTCGCGAGTGTTGTATATGTATGTGATTCCTATGTAGGGAAAATTATCAAAAAACATAAATATCACAACTTTAAATTTAAATGTGTACCAAATTTACATTTTTTTACACGCTGGTGATCACGAGAGAAGATTACAATATTGCAATTTTGCCCTTTTTTTTAGAAAAATATTATGGACGGATGAATCTTTATTTACAAATTCTGATACATTTCAGATTGAACAGATAAGATATTTGAACAGAAAAAAGTTCGCGTTATTATGCAAAAGAAAATCCCCATTTAATTAGAGAAACCAGACCACAAATAAGATATTCTTTGAACCTGTTCTTGACAATAAAATTTTAGGTTCTGGATTGACCTGTATTGAACTCTACTATATAATTTTTGTGCGTCCAGATTTGACACATAATAGAATAAACAAAAAATAACTTGCTGTCATATATAAAGTGTCAATTGGATTTCCAAGGCACACTTGATTTTTTGAGAGAATTTTTAAAAAATCTAATTTTTTAGTGAAATTACATAATAATGAATAAAAATTAGATACCACCGTATAGATTATTTTTTACTCTAAATTCAAAATGGCGGCCATAAGAAAACAAAAACTTGACTGTTGTTGTGCGAAATCTAGTAGGCTCAGAAATTTTCTGAAAACGGCTTTAATTGGGCGAGGTCAAAAATATAAAATTACCAACTTACGTTGTAATAGATACATTAGTTCTGAAGATATTTTCATTTAAAACAAACGTATTATTTTAATTTTTTTATATAAATCCGGAACTAATCAGGATACCGGGGTTTTCTTCATAGGTGTTTGTCAAACTTCTAATTACGCAATTTTTGTTCCATTTAACCGAATTCATATCTTTCGTAATTTGTGAGATGCCAATGTTGAGCATTGAAATTGTCACCACCCTGTATCATAAAAAATGGAGCTATCGATTTAAAATAAGAAAGTCCCTGTCAACTTCCGGTATTCACAGAAGTGCCGCCATATTGAAAATATTTTTAATGGTTAGATCTGGTCGTACAAAATATCGGATCTAGATTAATATCCTAAGATAAGAGTTGTTTAAAAACCTCCAATGTAAGCTCAACCTGGGACACCCTGTATATATATCAAGATAAGCTAATGGATGCACTTGCTTCCAGACTATCAAAAAAATATGCTTCTTCTAACTCTTTTCAAATTAATTATTAATACAACTAATAATTTGATTTTCGTCAATCTAGTCTAATACGTCCCTAACTATTTACATTTTGTAAGGCACTGTATCAAGTAAAAAACACTAAACTCTGCAGAGATCTTGTTCATTGTTTGGTCTTTGTCCTAATCATCTATGTACACCGCTACGGTTCTCTGTAAGTCCACCCTGTAATATTGAAAATTGCCGAGAACACCACACTAATGTTCACGGAAGTCCTAATAGACGTTTGGTCCGCGTGGGGCTTCAGAATGCGGCCGCAACCAGTGCTCGAGCGAGCACCAGTTTTAGCTTTAATCACACCTCCGTGCCGTCTTCGCCCTCGTCTTCAAACAGAGGTCCGGTCGATTCGCGCTTCTTCGGTTTTGGTGGAGGTCGAGGAGGAATCTTCTTCGGTTTACCTAGAACAAATTAGTTTGAGTTAGATTTTTAAGAAATAACAGAAATAAATGTAACAAAAATGGGAGTGATTAAACTACAAGGTAATGGTGGGCAAAAACTTATAATGAGTTATAACTCATAATACAGTTTCAGGGCTATCACAAAAGCCAGTATCTGAGACGGCTCCACAGAGGCCAGCTCTCCATCTTCGACATCAGCCGTACCCAATTTATGGCACAAACGGTGGTCGTCTCGGTGCACTCAGTGATAAGGTGTTTTGGTGTTTCCCCAGGGCCGTATCTAGACCAAAATTTCGGGGGTTGGCTTGGCTTGGGGGTACAAAAGCTGCTAGGAAAAAAGCATAATAAAAAAATCGCTTTGGGCTACACTCAAATCTTAAATGAAAATAAAATTTTAAAAAAGTAACAGGTAAAAATTATTAATCTTAAAGGATAAACTGGTCTTTTCCCTGGAAAAACGATTGACTACCTCTTCGATATCGATATTTATTTCTCTATGTCCGCTTAATAGAGCAAGTCCTGTCAATCGCTCCTGACCTGTAGAGTTACGTAGGAAGTCCTTCAATCGTCTTATGCCGCAACCGCACATGCGGCATTTAGCGAACTCCGAGCGCTCATCAACTACCGAACGCTCGTGATCGGACTTCGCCTTTCCATCCACACATGCGGGCTCTGATAGCAACAACATAGAGATGAGCGCTCGTTCTCGTAGCCGATCGAGTCGCCGAACTCCGACTTCCTCATCCACAAACATAGGAAATCGGCGAAGCCCCGATCGGAGATCGCCGAATACCGCATGCGCGGTTGCGGCATTAGGGTTGAAAAAGACCTTTCTGGTGTAGCTGTTGACGCTAGTAGAGTTGCTAGGATCATTAATAAAATGTATATATTTGGAAATATACACTGGTTACACTCCGATTATCGTTTCGATGGCGTTTTTAGGTCGGTCGACTGCAGGTAGCTGCTTCCATTTTTCCCGCCACAAGTCTAGTTCTGCCGCTAAAGTGTCATAGTCCAAGAATTCTTTGTCTAATAGCAGAACAATAACAAACGTTAATCACGTTAATGACCAGCAAAACACACAACATTCAAAATCTTGTCCTTGTCAAACTTTTGCTGTTTTAAACACTTGAATGTTGAAAGTCGAAAATCGAAAATAACATTTGCTTTCAAAGTGGAAAAGTGAGGTTAAGGTGTATAATGTATATTCATCAATGACTAAAAAATACAAGGACAAATAGCACCCGAGACCAAACTGTGACCATTCTTCCAAACAGTGCCGTGGCACATATTTTACTTAACATTACCGCTTGAAGGGATATTAATATTTTTGATATTATATGTTTTCACTACGCCTATGGTGTATTGGGTGGTATCATACTAATTAATTACGAAAAAAACGTATTAAAATGTTAACAAAAGGTACATAACTAGTATCGACGTATAGTACATATCAAGTACATATAATATCAGAAAAATAATTATCGAATTCAATAAAAAAAACGCTAAAAAGGTGTAGGGGACTGTTTATTTCCCTATAAAACGTAACTTCAGGCTCTTTCTTATCATTGCGCCTTTTACACTTGAAAGCTGAACTAATTACCATTGTAATAAAGTTTATACAAAGTTCACTATACACAACCAACTATTAAAAATCGCTAAAATTGTCGCTGATGACCAGCTGATGATTCATTCGTTATGTCTAAAAAGTTGGCGTCTAAGGTCACAAATTCTGCTGCAGCCCGTATATGGGCGTTACATGTCCTTGTATTCTTTAGTCATTGATATTCATCCATCTTCTTCTTCTTCTTTTTTGTTTCGTTCTTACTTACTTAATGATCATTACTTTTTAAAAATTTTCGGCCATAATTTCGGGGGGGGGTTTGAACCCCCAAAACACCCCCCCAGATACGACCCTGTGTTTCCCCATATTCCTCGCAAAATCTGCGTTCGTCGTTGTTTCTCAGCTTCAATCTACTTGGGTGTTCGTCGAGGAGACAGTGTCCTGTTAGACACTCCGTGAGAATCCAAAGATTGTTTTTACTTAAATCAAGGAGAATCTTTGATTTTTCTCAGTCGTAAGTTCTGAGTCACTTTTTCGAAAATAACAGTTAAATATCGACTCATATCTAGTTCAAATACATATACATAGTATTTTAACGATATCTAGTTTCTCAATTTGTAAAAATCTAATCACGTACACTATCGGACAAAAGTAGAGCAACAAAGTTAATTTTTATTCATGTTTGAATAAAAAAAAATATTAGGTTGTGATTTTCGGCTATGTTTACTGACACACTATCCTTACACTATTACTATAGTACTATTTTAGTACTAGTACTATAGTACTAGTACTATTTTGGTGTACTTTTAATCAGTTTAAAAATAGTAAATAATATTGATTATAAAAATTGATAAGAATGGGGGCGACAAAAGTAGAGCAACAAATTGTATTGAACAAATTTTATTGTGTCTGATTTCAACAAAAAATATTTAACACATTTAAGAACAATAATAATTGAAAGTCATTCATTAGTAATTGATAGAATCTCCATTATTATTAATAACTTGCTGACAACGGCGCGGCATTGAAGCAATCAACTTCTGAATGACATTTTCGGGAAGAGTTGTCCAAACTTCATTAATTTTATCTATCAAGGATTGTTTATTTAGAAACATTTGTGTACGAATACGACGTTCTACTTCTTCCCAGAGATTTTCGATGGGGTTAAGGTCTGGGGATTGTGCTGGCCATTGCAAAACTCGAACGTCATTTTCCCTAAACCACTGTTGAACAACTTGTGAAGAGTGTTTTGGATCGTTCTCCTGTTGGAAAATAAAACGCAGTGGCATTTCCCATTCTGCATAAGGAAGCATGACATTCTGCATGATATCTCTATAAACAAATCGGTCCATCCTGTCATTAATAAGGTGTATAGGGCCTATCCCATTCCATGAGAAACAACCCCATAAAAATACACTGCCTTTACCGTGTTTAATTGTAGGTGTTACGTATTTAGGATTAAACCTTGTATTGATTTGTCGCCTCACACGTCTCATTCCATCAGAATTGAATATTTTGTAGCGCGTTTCATCACTGAATAAAACTTTTTTCCAGTCATTGACGGTCCAGTTTAAATGCCGACGTGCAAATGCCAACCTTGCTGCTCTATTTCTTTCCGAAACTAACGACTTTTTGGCTGGACGTCTACTAAATAACTTTGCATCTACTAATCTTCTTTGTACTGTTCGTATACCAACCGTAATTTCTGGAATTTCGGCAATAATTCTAGGTGCGCACTTCCAAAGATCATTTTGAGCAATTCTTTTAATGCGTCTGTCGGTCATTACTGTTGTTTTCTTTGGCCTTCCCCATTTTGGCAACTTTTCTAAGTGTCCCCTGTTATTATACGATGAAATTATTTTAGATACACTGTACCGGGGTAACACAAACTGTCTTGAAATATCGGCTTGATTGTTACCTTCCATGAATGCATTCACTCTTTGCTTCAAGTCTTTTGAAATTGGAATTCCTCTTGGCATGACTAATCCAGCATAGAAATGTTTAAAAAGAAACATAAAATAAACCTCGCAGAATTATTTTCGGCTTTACTTTTGCTAAAACCCTTCTTTGGAATGAATTATTTGAACGTTGCTCTACTTTTGACGCGTTACTATTAAGCATTTAAAACTAAATGTCAAAATAAATTCATTTGTTTTGTTAGTAAAAATTATTGTTGTCATGGATACTCATAGCCTACTTCGTAGTTTTTAAATTTATTGTATTTGTATACATTATCATGCATGTATAATTAATCGCGATTTGCAAATATTTCTTGAAGTGTTGCTCTACTTTTGTCCGATAGTGTAGTTGCAACACTCCGCATACCCCTACCTGTAACTTTTTTATGATTTCAGATGAAAAATCGAGATTTGGTATGTTAGTATATGACATAAATTAGGACTGATTGATGTATTCAATTGTTTTTGGTCACTTCCTGTTTCACCGGAAATGTCTACAGCTTTTGATTTTTAAATGGCATCCTCCGTATTTTTTCACTATAATTGATAGAAAATGTCATTCTGAATAGAATGACGTATCACATGTCAATTTTTGATATTTTCGCTTTCAAAAAAATCGTATTTTAAATTTAAATCTAGAGTGCCATGGTTGTGTTAAATACATTAATTGTTGATCAAGGAGCATCGGAAAAATAGATTTGATCCTCTGAAATAAAAAAGTTACAGGGGTGAGTCACTTTCGAGACGCACCCAGTATAGGAAGAAACTGTTTCTATTTATAAGTGCAAATATTTTCAGGGCTGGCAATTCTCGATAAAAGAAACCTCTTTGGAAGAATTTTCCTCTTTACCGTTTTTTAAATAAGTCCAAAGAGTTATTTTACTTTGAAAATTTCCAAAAAAAAAATGATTTTTTGCCTAAATTTTTTAAAACCACTTGATCTTGGCTGTGTTTTCTTTCTTGTAAATTTAAATTACTACCTATGTTGCCATATTATCAAGAAATTATGTTTTTTAATTAAAAACTAAAAAAATTTCCAAAATTTTTTTCAAAAAACTGCAAAAAAAAAGTCGCAAAAAAACTTCATAGTCGTGTTTCTGGGGTCGAAATATACTAACCCGATAATTCTATTTATCTCCGTCAATTTTTTCATTTGAAAATAAAACGCATATAGATATAAATCTTATACCGGGTGCGTTTCAAAAGTGGCTCACCCCTAAAACTTTTTTATTTTTTCAGATAAAAAACGAGAGATTTGGTATGTTAGTATATGACATAAATGTTAAGGATTGATTGTCGTAGTCAATAGTTTTTGGCCACTTCCTGTTTCATGGAAATGACTACAACTTTTGATTTTTAAATGGCACCCTCGGTATTTTTTTACTTTATTCGATAGAAAATAACACTCTGAGTAGAATGACATATCATATGTCAACTTTTGATATTTTCGCTTAATAAAAAATCGTATTTTAAATTTA